CTACTGCACTTTTCCATAACCGTTTTGCATGCTGAGGATTCAATAAGACGAGGCCGACAATGACTTCTTCTGGTTCTGTCTGAAGAAATTTGTTACAATTAAAGAAATTCAAAATTTATTTATTTATATCAAATGGCAGGCTTTATGATAGTCATCATTAGCCCTTTAGCTGACTTCAGGCTCCACAGAGGGAGGGGAACATCAAAGTGGAAAAAGTCGAGAGGGGGGACAGAAGAGTGCTTCAAAGACGAAGGTAGAGTAAAAAAGGTGAGGTGAGTACTGTGGAAGCAGTCGACATACAGTGGGATCATGGCAGTTTGAAGTCAAAAGTCAACTACCGGTTTATAGCCTTTTTCGCCGCAGGAGTTTACGTTGCCCAGGGTGCACCACATGGAGGTAAGTCTACCGCACACCCCAGAAATTCAAAATAGAAGTATCCTTCAATTTCAATCGATAGAACGTAATTATCTGAGAGACCACAAATTAATTGAATCTCTTCATTGGCATCTCTCGTGTGTTTTGTTTGCTTTTGGTATTGACAAAGCCATCAATTAGTTGAAAAGCAAAGACAAGCACGTTTAATAGCGCTCATCAAATGGAAAAAAGGAGATGACACTTCAATCCAATTATGCAAATAAGTTCATTAATTTAAAAAAGATCATATACAGCTAATGAATTGGACATTATGGTGTATAACCCTCAAGCTCAAGAATATGGAAGAGGGTGAGAGAGAGAGAGTTCTATGAGGCTACATAAAATTACATTTTCTCTACTTTCCCACTTTTTACTTCCATTCTGAAGGTTATTTGTATTTAAAATTTACACTCATTTTGTTTAGCTGGCCTGAATTTGGAATAATCATGTGCGAGTACACATCCGGTGGAGCATCTGGCACAAGGACCTTTAAATTAAATAGGACACACACACACGCACACATACTAGTGTTCGAGTACTACTACATAGTTCAACTCGGTTAGCTATACCTGTCGCGCGTCTTTCTCTACCTTGTTCTCACATTGAACTCACATTCGGTCACTATCCAAAGCTACCATTCGCAGCCTTCAGGTCGGAGCGATGCCATTCGCTCGTTGGGACCTGAGATCTCTTCTTATACCAAAAGAGCAAGAAGGCATTTTTACTGTACAAATTTAATGAAATCTCAGGATGCGTGGCAGACTTACCTCCACCTGATGCACCATGGGCAACGTATACCCTAACACCAAATGGTCTATAAACCAGCAATTGACTTCTGACTTCAAACTACTATGACCCCCACTGTGTGACATATTCCAACACTTTTTCAGTACTCACTTTACCTTCTTCTCTACCTATGTGTCTGTCTGTCTGTCTCTTTTGCATCTGTGAATGACTCTTCTGTCCCTCACCCTCCCTTCTCGACTTTTTGTGACGTTGATGTGCCTCCTCTCTGTGAAGGCCGAAGTCCACTAAATGGATAACGTTAACCATCATTTCCAGGGACGTGCTCTCCCTACTTTACTTTCTTTCCCACTTTCTTGATTGTAGTATTGGAAGTTATTTATCTTCGTAGGCATTCAAAAAATCTCCCTCTCTTTTGCTATTTGAGCGAGGAGATTGAACATGCTTTGCGCTGCCTATTTGGAGCATTAACATTGGTAGATGTTTAACAAATGAGCAATATATAAAGTTGGAATGATTTTTTGGCATTTCAATGTTTCTTCGTGGTTAGCACATGTTATGCCAAAAACAATAGTAATAATAATAGGACCGTCTTGGTACGCCAATAAGCCTTGCCAAATTCTCGATAATCTCCCTGCCAACATCCCTTCAATGGTATAGTGGAAACGGACGTAGTGTGTGGATCGCGTTTACTTTCGAATGTGCGTATCTGACACCCGTTCAGCCATTGACTACAATTATGTCTATATTGACCACTCTGTGACTATTGATTGTCGATTAGTTCCTTCACTCACGACCACACACGTTCCCTAACGTGATCAGCAACACGGCCGCACTTGACGGCTACTTGGAAAGTAGCACGCCGATCTTTCCAGAATGTTCTGGCACTCATGGAATTCTTTGGTTCAGCCATGTTAGGATTGTGTTTCAAGAAACTTTACACCAAGTTACGAATCTTCTAATATATACCCTTTTAACGTAAATCACATTTTAGACTCATTATTGGCAAGTGAAATCAAATAACTAAAACAAAACGTCTAATTTTATTTGCTTTTCAACTTTTACGCGGATGAAGCGATTCGTTTAACAATTAACTAAAAAGATATAAAAAAACATGCAATTAAATTTAAAATGTGGGAAGTGATTCACTAGTTCCTCTTATTACTTATATTTCATCAACTGATTTTATATATATTTAAAATTAGTTTAAAGTATTATATTCGTAAAAAATCTCTTATTAAAAACTTACATAATCCGGTCGAATTTTGAGGTAGAAATAATTCTTTTTGTAGGATATTCGCAACACCTTGGGCCAGGCGAATCGACCTATTCGAACTCGATCACGATAAATGACGATGCCACTGTAACCTACGCCAACGTAGATCTCCACATTTTCCATGTCTCTCGCTGGATGGAGATCCAAACCGTAGAGGTCCAATCGTTTTGCTGTCTCAAGGTACTTGATGTCTGCTTGTCCTGGTTTCATACCCCTTAAGAAGGCGGAAATTAAACTAAATAACCAATCAAAATGCGGATTTTGCTTGAGAAATCAATTTAACTGTCTAATTGTATGGGCTAACCACAAAGTTCTGACATATCAACCAGTGAGAATGTAGAGAGTTAAAAATGCACAAAGATTGAATGCTGAGCATTGGTGGAAATTAGGGAGAGAGGGAGAAGATTAAGGAGGAATAGAACATGAGAATCAGACGCTTATGTCAAACGCATAAACCCGGCGTATGCAAATGACCCACAGATATGAATTCTGCTTGCTGTGATTGACAATCAAAATCGATACGCTGATGGTCAATGGGACGTTAAATTGCATTCCGTTTATGCAAGCATTTAATTACTTCCACAAGACTCTTAGTCCACATATAGTTCAAACGAATTATTATGAGTGCTATTTGGGAGGGGGGGGGGTTACCATTTTCATTAATGCCCTCGTAGAATTCCCATATTTCACCAAACTAATTAAATTACTTATTTATTTATTTATAACAAACGGCAGGCGTTTTGATAGTTGTCATTAGCCCTTTTAGTTGACTTCGGGCTTCACAGAGGGGAGGAGGAACATCAAAGTGAGAAGAATTCAGGAGGGGGAATAGAAGGGTGTTTCAAAGATGTAAAAGAAACAGACACAAAGGCTCAGAAAGGGTAAGATGAGTACTGTGGTAGGGGTCGAATATGACATACAGTGGGGTCATGGTAGTTTGAAGTCAGCTACCGATTAATAGACTTTTTGCCGCATGAGTATACGTTGCCCAGGGTGCACCACGTGGAGGTAAGTCTATCGCACACCCCACTAATTAAATTAATAAACAATAAATGCTTTTTTTGCATTAAATTCAGTAGATTTGCCCATGCAAAGTTGTTGCCGAATATTTGCAATTCCCATGCCACTTTAGGCATGCTTTAACACAACTCACTTAATACAGTTTCGTTCCCAATTTTTTGTCAAATATTTTACTATGGTTCACTGTCTCGTCTTTCCTTATTTTAAAGACATCTTAAACAACCAGTTTAAAAATGTGCAAATCAGTTACTTTCAATTTTATGAGAAGCTTTTAATCATTAAAAATTGAGTTTTAAATTATCCTTTTTTCGGATTAAGCTCATTGATTCCTTTATCTTCAAGCGATCACAGTATTTATCACCTTCAAAGCGGGAAAATATGAGGAATTGGCAGAAATGTGTGTAAATGCGAGCCAGAAACCAGAGAGAGAGAGAGGAGACTGACGGAAGAGGCGACAGTAAATGATGGCATTCGAATGCCGACAATTCTGCAAATTTTTAAACCTGAGAAGGGCCTACTCAAATAGAGTTGAGAGAAGTGTGGGACACACGCCAAGATTGGGAGGTGCGACCGTACAAACAGTGACCGAGCATTGGGAGGTGCGACCGTACAAACAGTGACCAATCCTTAACATCTGTTTGTTTAACCTAACCCCAATCCTGATCATGAGTAGCTCCATGCGTGTACACTTGATCCTGATATACGTACTGAATAAACGTATTCCGTGCTACACGTCTGCTTCCCTGCTACACGTCTGTTTCCTTCCTACTGAATAAATGTTCCGTGCTACACGTCTGTATCCTCTGTAGAATAAACGTGCTCCGTGCTAAACATCTGTTTCCTTTATATGCAATATACGTACCGAATAAACGCATTTCGTGCTACACGTCAGTTTCCCTTATAGCTGGGCTATAGCTTAACTGGTTCTGGGAGTCTAGCTAGACGTTGGAGAATCTGCCGTTCTGGGAGTCTAGCTAGATGTAGGAGAATCTGCCACAGATATAAACGCGCTCCGTGCTACACGTCTGTTTTCTTTATAGCTGAGCTATAGCTTAGCTGTTCGTCTAGCTAGATGTTTGAGAATCTGCCATAGAGATTTCTGTGTTAGTCAGGCTTTACTAGCGTAGCAATCCGCTACAGAAGAGGGAGATCCATTCACTGTGCGTGGAGGTAAGCGATGACAATATTCACACATGCTCTCATATACCTCTTGGGGATTTACGATAAATGGGGTGAAAAATGTTTAGATCTCGTGTAACTCTTGCGAAAGAGAATATCTGAAATCACAAAAAATGGTTTTCTTGATGCAACTCAACCTGTGAATACGAGTAGTTCTGGCAACTGAATTTGAGGCCATTTTCTACTTCAAAATGCTTACTATTTTGTATTAAGTTTGTCCGTTCTAATAAGATTGTAAGCAGTATTATTCAGTTGATAATGGAAATATGTAACATATGATTCAGATGATATAGAACTTCAATTCAATTACATTTTTGTCCCGTTTAAAATGCCGCCTATGTCAACTCGTTAAAGATATACCAATTTCAGTGGCGAGTGGACCAAAGTCCAATGACAAAGTAAATGAAACTTGAGAGTCAACAAAGTAACATTTGAAGGACGTTGTCAACCTCGCATTATGGGACATTAATTCAAACCCATAAAAGGGGAAAATAGGTCTTCACAAGCTCAGAACTTAGTCATTAACCGAACAAATATCAAACTAACCCCCCC